TGGTCACCAACCTTTGGTATGTCACCCCCGCATTTTTCAGTCCGAAGGGTATCACCCTATAGCAGTACGTTCCTTGGTAGGTGATGAAGGTGGTCTTCTCCTGGTCCCCCTCTTCCATAAGGATCTTATTGTAGCCCGAGTAGGCATCTAAGAACCTCAGCAGTTCATGCCCGGCCGTTGCGTCAATAAGCTGGTCAATGTGAGGTAGCGGAAATGAATCTTTGGTGCATGCTTTGTTTAAATCTATAAAGTCTACGCACACCTGCTACTTTCCGTTCTTCTTTTTTACCATGACCACATTGGCGACCCACTGGGGATATTTTGATTCGCTAATGGAACCGTTTTCTAACAATTTTTCGACCTCCTCGTGGACTGCATCGTTTATTGTGGAATTGAACTTTCTCCTAACCTATCTTACCGGGGGTAGAACGGGTCGACGTTCAACTTGTGTATGGCGATCTCTTTCGGGATACCTGGCATGTCTGCATGGGAAAAAGCAAACAAGTCCACGTTAGCAGTTAAGAATTGACGGAATTTACCTGGTTCTTGAAGCTTGCGGCCGACGTAGGCTTTCTTGCTGTGGTCGTTTTCATCAAGTTGGACGGGGTCGAGGTCTTCTACAGTTGATCCCGTGGCATCTATTATTTAGGGATCTCTGATGACTCTCGCCTTTTCATCACAGCTCGACCTCGACACTGTTAATTGCTATGCATCCTTTGTTTTGCCCTTCATTTGTTAGGTGTATGTACAATCCTGGGCGATGCGATAGCATTCTCCAGATGTGCGTTGTTCTCCTCGTATGAGGAATACTCCCCATGGAGTTGGAAATTTGATAACTTGGTACAAGATGGAGGGGATAGCCCTCATGGCGTGTATCCAATGTCGACATATTATGGCGCTTTACGCCGTATCCTGGTCCATGATGTTGAATGTGGTTTCCAGAGTGACGCCGCCAGCCAGGACGGGGAGTGTTATTTCCCCGGATGTTCGTTCAACTTCATTGTTAAAACCTGTTAGCGTGATGCAGCGCGGTACTATCTTATCCTCGAGTTTCATTTGTGTAAGTACTCGAGGATGGACAATGCACGCGCCTCTCCCATCGTCCACCATAATGCATCTTACATCTGTATCTAATATTCGTAAAGTGATAACGAGGGCATCATAGTGAGGGAAAACCAAACCGTGGGTATCTAACTTATCGAAAATGATACTTTCTTCGAGTTCGTTGTACCGTTCATGAATGATTGACCATTTGAGCTTGTGGGTTGTGGCGAACTTTACGCTGTTGATCGAAACGTCATCGCCGCCCCCGATGATCATTTGAATGGTGCGAGCCGGTGAGGGTGGTATAGACGGTCCCTGGTGTTGTTCACGTCCTCGGGCAAAGTTGGTCCTTCCTCGGTCGCTCAACAATTCTTTGAGGTATCCTTGATGAAGCATATTCACGACCTCCTGTTTTAGGGCGATACAGTCCTCGATTTGTGACCTCGCTCTTGGTGGAACTCACAGAGGGTGTCTGATTTTCTAGTGCTTGGATCTGATCTCATCTTTTGTAGCCACTTCACTTTTGGTCCGAGCTTCTCAAATGCATAGACTATTTCTGAGGGTGACACACAAAAATTGTGAGCGGATAGTAAAGGGGGCATACCTCTCTCGTTCCAGTGAGTCCCTGTCCTTGACCTAGATGGGCCTTCTTTGTGGCGGGAGGGGGGCATGATGGCACTTCTGACATATGGCTGATGCCTTTCTCGGTTGGATCGTGGAGCTGCAAGATCTCTCTTGGCATCATTTCTTCGATCGTTCCTGGTTTTGTCTTGTACCGAGGTCAATCGATGAGTTGGCCCATTCAGGTCATCTTCGTCGGCACGGAACTCGGCACAGTAGGCGTTGTGTATTTCATCCCAAGTGGTTGAAGGATATTTTATAAGCCGGTTTAATAGTTTTCTGGTCTCCCTTGAGCCATTCCTGTTCATCCCGTTCTGGAAAGCTGCTACAGCCATTCCTTCCAATACATTCGGTAAGGTCATCCTTACTCTGTTGAATCAAGTGAGGAAGTCCCTCAATCCCTCTTCGGGTGATTGTTTGATGGCAAATATATCGTTCACCCTTGCCTCTGCCTTTTTAGCCCCAGCATGGGCCTTTACGAACTTGTCGGTCATCTCTTCGAATGTTTTAATGGAGCGTGCGGGCAGCTGTGAATACCAAGTTAATGCTCCTCCGGTAAGGGGCTCGCCGAACGTTTTCAACAAGATAGAGGAGACTTGTTCTTTGGCGAGATCATTGCCTTTACCGCAGTGACATAGTGAGTTACATGATCTTCGGGGTTGGTCGTACCATCATAAATTTTCAGATAAGGTGGCATCTTGAACGTCTTGGATATGGCATGTGGGGCTACTTCATCACTGTAGGGTTGCTCGACGAACCAACTAACGTCTCTTTTTGGCAAGAGTTTTGGGGCACCCGGTAATTTGTCGAATTTTTCTTGGTGTTCTCTCATTTGATCCCGAAGCATTTTGTTTTCATTTTTCCATTTTCCTCAAAATGGCCATGAGGGTGTCGTTACCTGCATTATTAATATTGTGAGTGATACCTGTTACTGAAGGGGGAGGGCCGTGTTGCATGGCCGTTGCTGGTGCAATGCAAGTCCTTGCATTTTCTCTAACTGCCTCCTGAGTGGGCTTATTGAGGATGTCGGTCAGCGTATTTGTCAGCCAAGCTTCGAGTAGCTTCTTCACCGCTGGTGGTGCCTCTTCCGCTGTGGACGTGGAAGCTCCTTTACCACGGGATGTTGTGATACTGCCGTGAGGGAGGGGTGATCCACTTCGTCGGGGAGAGGTGTTAGGCGTTATGTCTTCGCCTTCTGTTTCAGAGACCTCATTGATGGTGTTTAAGAGGTTAGTAGTGAGAACGGCCACTTCCTTCATCCTTTCTTCTCCCTTACCTGCCATGTCAGATCTCGGTGTACAAGAAAGTAGGAGCTTCTCTTTTTTTTTGTGAACTGTGCCAGTTATAGATCTAGAAGAAACTAAAGATTTAACTAGAGAATCCCCACAGACGGCACCAAATTATTTTACCAAGAAAAGCAGATGTTCGATTAAACTAATTAATTTAATAAAATGAAGAGCTAAACCTAGTTGATGATAATAACTTCAGATCTATGATTGATTGACACAGATAACACAAAAGCAATATTGAGAGAAGAATAAATGTAGTGTGCGTTCAATGTTCCAAGATCCTTGATGATGGGGGAATATTGAATAATAAATAACAATAAATGGCATTAAAGTAAATAAGGAGAATGATTTACCCAATATTAAATGAAGTGGATGATTCTTCTTTCTGACAATGATGAATGAAAGACCAGTACTAGAATGTTAGGACTTTTTTCAGATCTAACAGAAAAAGTGTGGAATAATGGATCATCCAATCTCTTTAGAAAGGTAATAGTTGTCTTTTATTCAGAGAGAGTGTCAGTCTTAGAAAGGTTGTGTGTCCCTCCTTTTCCTATCTCCTTTTCTATTTATATGGGACATTTCCCAATTAACCCTAAAAGTACCGGTACCATAGAATAATCAAGAGAATATTCTACTTCGAAAACTAGCCGTTAGTACTGCCGGTCATACTCGACCTCGGCTGTTATTGACTCTTCGGTTACAAGCTCCGTTTTCTACTAATCGACCCCGGCCATATCGCTTCCCACGATACCGCTTCGTGTCAAATCTTAATGAAAGCAGATTTTGACCCATACAGTATCCAAGGTCAAATCATGTAACAAAGCGCATTAACTCAAATCAAAGACCAAAATCGACTTAATAAACTTTAAGGTTTTAGTTAGCATGCAGGTGTACCAAAACGCTCCAGAGCGATTCCAGGCCCGAAGCACCAATGCCCGCAAGTCTGGGATCACAATACGAATCTACGAGACATTTCAAATTAGGGAACGAGGTTTTAAAACTCAAAATAATCGATTGGGTTATTATAGAAGAAATAAGAATGCCGAGTACAATATTTGAATAAAAAGGTACCTTTTGCCATTAAATTTTCAAGAACTGAGAATATGATATGTTGGGAATTCTTTACTTGCTGCATCAAAAAAATATATCACAAGCTTATAATAAAAAACGAGCAAAGAAACAAATATTTTCACAACTCTATCACCCAATTAATTTTATTCCACTTAATCCATCCTGCATGTTAGACGACAAATGAACAAGTAGCGCATACACATGTTTGAACATTATAGTGTTTTGAAGCTAGAACGAATCTTGATTAAATTAATTCATTATCCTGTACCAAAAAGAGCATGATCATAGAACCCGTTGTCAGCTTGTTTCTTGTTGCTCGTGCTTTAATAATGTAAAACAGATCAAATTAGGTATTATAAAGCACAGCGATACTCACATGCAGACATGTGCATGCATAAAATCATACTGCATAGTTTTTTAGGTCTTTTTATTCTATCTCTTTTTCTTTTATTTGTTTCAAGAATTTCCTTTCTTTTCTTTTTATTTTTTGAATGAGGTGGTCAGTATTTTTAAAAAAAAACAAGAATTCAACTGTCCTCCAAATACCTTTATTTTTTCCGGCCATAGAGGATAAGGAGTGAGAAAGTCTCGAGAGAAAATTCGTACTGCAAAATAAACTAAGAATAATGTCAAAGACTCAATTTCTAGCTACTTCCGGTCATGCCACCCCAGATATAGAAAATATGTTTGCTGAAGTTCTTGATCCTTGTAAAATGCTCATTTATGAATAAAATCAGGCAAGGAGTGGGTAAGGTAAGGCTTATGCATGCTAAAGAAAAGGTTGGATTCGCATTCTTCTAGTCTAGTTATATAAACTACGACAGATATCGAATGCAGCATCAATTCGAGCAAGCAAGCTTGGACCGTCCTAATAACAATGTTTTATTATTTTATACTCCCAAAAAAAAGCATAGAATCCACTAACAGATATGAGAAAGGTATACTAACAATGTAAATGGAAAGTAGAAGATAAGCTAAGCCAGGAATGATGAAAGTAGCTTTTTCCAAGAGGGAGTCAACAGAAACACATGAAAAACTTCAAATGTACATTACAAGCATGTAAATACATAAGGCGTTTTTTTCTAAAATGAGAAATAGTCTAAGTTCAACCAGAGGTAAAACATTACGATCATAAAGAATGTGAAAAAAGAAAACAGGTTACTTTTAGAGAAACCTTGTGATTCAAATGGACAGTTATAGTAGTGAGAGTAATGAGTGTATTGATGGCTGGTCTGTGAGTTAGTTTCAGCAGCTGGAGTACTAGGGGAACTAGAATGAGATGAGCCAAAACGCCAGAGGAACGACCATGGCCTCCGCCTTTCTAAATTCTGAGAACTGTCCTCCCTACCACTGTATCGCCTACTGCTGCTTCTAGTTTGACTCCTGGAGCTTGGAGAACAATGGTCATTGCCAGATCGTTGAGGTATCAGCTCCTGTCTACAAACAGGACATGAACTCTGCTGTTTTAGCCATGGAACTATACAATCTGAGTGATATAAATGCTTGCAAGGCAATTTTATTGCCTGTGTCCCTAGTGCAAATTTCTCTTTGCAAACAGGGCAGTGGGAATCCGATCTAATATCATTTTTCAATATCTTGACTGTAGGCAGGGCATCAATTGAAGATCTTGAGGCAGGAGGAGCACCACTCTGATTGCTATTGACAATTTCTTCAAAGAATTCTTCCACTCCAGGACCAACAAAATAATCACCACCATTTTCTCTTCGGAAGCCAAGAGCCTCATTAAGAAACTCCACCATCCCCAGGCATCTGAACAGGCGTATCACCACTGAAAATCAGCAAGGGATTCCACAAATTTCTTTGTTCGGCACCCCATCAGATCTCCCTCTCTCAGAAATATTACTTCTAGCAGAGATTTGCCGTCTTAAAAAGTTTGAGACAGATTCCATAAATCTCGGCCTCTGGTTCTTATAATCTGCACTACTACTCATTATGTCATTGAGCTCTTGAACAAAACTACCAAGGCAATTGTGGCAAACAGCATTTACGAGATTCACGGATTGCCCACAACTATGACACCAGTGGGTGCAACTGTCACTTGACATGCTTACTCTGCTCACACTTCTGCCCAACAAAATGCCTCTTCGTGACTACTATCCTGACCTAAAACTAAATAACATAAAAGTTGTAGCTCATTAAGCTCCTCAAAGAAACTGAGCCACTTGAATAACTTATAGGTATCATCACGCCAAATGTTACTGGTCAGAAAGCTATTCAATTGGAACCAGAAAAGTCTTGAAAGAAGCCATTCCATTTAGGACAACCAATATAAGAAATTAAATGTAAGAAACTTGACGAAAGAGAGAAAAATACACTAATTAATTAAAAACAACTACTCCATGTTGAGCCAAGAATAGAATAAAATCAAGAAATACGTGAATCATAACCACAGAGAAAAAGAGCTTTACCTAGTCTCTATGGATATGTAGTTCAAGAAAAATTTGCACACTCAGTGATAGAAGGAAAGATTTAGCGTTTAAAAGGAGGATCAGACAGATAAAAGAAGATAAATGATAATTATATCTATTTTTAACTCATAGTACAAGGATAAAAGGGAATATCTAGAATCTGTTCACAAGATGCCAAAGATCCAATTCCAAATTCTCCAATTTAAAGAACCATCTGATACCCAATAAAGAAATCTATTTAACCATCTAATACCCAATGAAGAAATCCATAAACTCCATTGCAAAAGCAGTGTACCAATTTGCACAAAATCCGACTAAATGAACCATGAAAATAGAATTTCTAAAAAACTCAAATACAACAAATCTACTGGAAACAAAATAGAAGATAAAACACTGTAAAATAAAGGCAAAGAATGAACAAATTACCTTTGATAAAAATGCAAAGTTTACAAGGTAAGAACGGATCCAGATTTAGGAAAACACACAATGCTACATGGGGTGGGGAGGGGGGAGGGGGGAGAAAGAGAGGTAAGATGGAGATGAAAGATAGATAGGGACAGAAAAGAGGGGTTATTCTCGGTGAGGCATTGCGTAAGGAGAAAAGATGAGTTTTTGAGAGTGAGTGTAATAGTGATGAGTTATTATTTTATTATTATTACACTAGAAGGGCAGCCAGCATACTAAGTTCCCGTGCGGGGGGGAGGGGGGGGACTGTTTTAACTGCTTGCAACATGACCTCTTGGTTATATAAAAATAACTTTACTAATTATGTCAAGTGTTCATTCAAAAATAATTTATTATTATTACACTCAAATATAATACAGAGTTGTGAGAAGAAGTTTTATTTTGAGCGAGATATGTCATATAATACTTGAGTGAAGATAGTGGTTGCTTGCCAAATGACACTTGGGGGACCCGCAATTAATGAAAAATTAAAAAATAATACTCCTTCTCTCCATTCTCATTCACCGTTCCCCATATCCCCCCAAACCCTCCACCTTCTCTCTCTTCCACTTTCTTCTTCTTCCCCCCAACACCACCCTCTCTCAAATCTCTCCAAAAAAAATTCACAATTTCACTATACTAATGAAACTATTTGTTTACCCGAAAAATGAATAGAGTTAAATTTGTAAGCAGTTCTAAGGGTACGTGGTATAGTTTGATACAAATCGTAGTGATAAATAGAAATATTAAATATGGATTGCAAAGAACGTAAAATAAACAAGGTTGGAAAGAAGATAATTTTTAGGACTAAGCACAATGAATCAATTAATGAAGCTTAAAAAAATAATCCTTGAATATAGGAGAATGTGGTTCTTGAATTACAATGTAAGCCAAAAAAATGCCCTCAACAGAAATATAGCCATCCTCTTTATAGTGGAGGATCCTACTTTAGATATAATTAAAAATACATAGTGGAGAACTCATGATAAATCAACTTTTCTCTAATTTCCGCCGAGATTCTCTCCCTTAGTGTGTTTGCAACGGCTCTTGTCTGTGAGCTCGAGCTCGATCGGCCTCGGTGCTAGTCGGTATTGCTTCTAGAACACAATATGGACTCGGGATCAGGTGATGATTCAGACTCGATCCCGGTTGACCTCTGACCCTTAAGCTCGAAATCATCTCATCATAGTTCGATTCGGACCTGAGCTCGATAATGACTTCGAACTCGGTATTTGATCTATACCCGAAATCTGAAGCTTGTTTGTACCACCTTCGGAACCATCTCAATATTACGAAGTCTTTCTTTGATCCATTATGTTTCGACCCCGATCAATCGTACGAAGGCCGAAATCTATTTAGACCGTATACAGATAGTCCCCTCATTTCTCGGGAAGGATGTGGTGAGAAACGATATGATTTCTCAATGGCTCGATTGGATTATAAGTTGACGTTCACATTGGGCTCGATCATGGCGCACGTGATAGTTGTCCCGTCGATTTAGTTTTTCAAGGCATTTAATGCATGTCAGATGGTGGTCGGCCACCGCTGACACTAAACCGCCATTACTTTAATCTATAAATAGCCATTCCTTTTACCATTTACCACTTTTACATCTTCAATCTTCCAAATTTTCCAAGTTCTTTTTCGTATTCTCTGAGTTTATTCACAAATCTGTGATTCCTCTTTGCAAAAGCCTTTCTTCAAAATTACAAAATCTTTGTCACTTTCTTCTATTCTCGACCTTTAAATTCAAAAATGGTGAAAACATCACAACCGTTCCTCAGAAAGAGAAAGTTTCATCTTCACAGTCTGCCGCCGACAAAACCCCGGTAGAGCCACGGCCTGAGGAGTGCGTTCCTGGGGCGTGTGTTCTTACCTCTGATTTTAAGTTCGATAAAAGCTCATCGATTCCCAGCCGATGTGAGCCATAGTATCGAGGTACATGTGTTCGATAACCGAGAGGCACCTCAAACAGCTAAAGAAAGATTGCAATTGGGAGAATAAAGAAATAATAATCCCTTCTTCCAACGAAGATATCAATACTTACGTGAAAGGGTTTTTAAGTGAGTATACTTACCCTTTCACGTTAGATTCCCTCGACTCTGTTATTATTGACTTCTGCCGTCAATACCAAATAACCCTAGGCCAGATCTATCCTTCTTTTTGGCGGATCGTTATTTTGATTCGATATTTTGTGAACAAAATCGAGGGGATGTCGTTCACCCTCGACCATCTCATCTGATTGTACTGTCCTCACCTTTTTCGAGGAGGGTTAATAAAACTTCAGCATCGGGCTACCAAGGCTCTGTTCTCGAGCATTGACGAGGACAGGGATCGAGGCTGGAAGGGCAGGTTCGTTCGAGTAAGGACTTCGGACCTGATTCCGACTGAAAAGATGCCTTTTCCCGAGTAATGGAATATGAAACGTAAGTGTAATTCCGCTGTTACTTCCTTCTATTTTGCCCTTTCATTTCTCTTCTCACCGATATTCCTCTTTTGTGATGCAGCAGTTCCCTGGATGTCCGGAGCAGTTCCTGATCTAAAAAGCTAGGTACGAGCTCTGGCTTTGACCTCCACATACGCCGAGCGCTCATGGCATGATTTGTCAAAGGGCCGATGAGAGGCCAAAAATCATGGTAAGCCCCTTTCTCGTACTTTTTGATAGTTCAAACAAGATGCTTTCTATATATTTTAATAAAATTTCCCATATGTAGGTGTGGGAAAAGATGCGGTTTTGAGGCCCTCGTCCGTCGAGGAGGAGGCTTCGGCCTCTATCCCAAAGCCGGTGAAAGATAATAAGAGGAAAAGAGTCTCCGTTCCCGAAGATCCAAAATCGAAGAAGAGAACGGCTCATAAGCCGAACAAGAATACCATTCCTTTGACCGTAGAATCAGTCCTGCATCTAAGGTATGAAGAAGAAGAAGAAGAAGAAGAGGAAAACGATGGGTCCGCGCTGGCGGCCCGAATGAAGAAGACCACCGACGTTCCACAGGCATCTAGATAGATGGTGGTTCATAAGGCTCCGTCTCGAACTGAGGATACATCGGAGAAAGATTTGGGCGGAGTCCCCGAGTTGTTGGAGATCGAAGATGCTTCCCATCAAAGCCAACAGATGGGGGATATGTCTGAAGGGGCTCTCCTCGAATCTCTTCGTACCAAAGAGAATGCTTCAAGTGATTCACTTGGGGCAGTAGCAATCGAAGACTCGTCCACCTTCCCTGCATTTTCTGCAGGGGCAATTCGGGAAGCCCAAGCTTTGGGGGCCCACAAACTAGACAGGCCTCATGATGGAGAGGATCCTTTTCGTGACCTATTTACCGGTGTCGAGGACGTTGCCAGTACTAGTGATGCATCAGATCTTTTTCACGGGGTGCAGCAGGCTTTGAATCAGGTAAGCCTTAAATTATTTTCTTGGTATTACCTTTATGTTTGCTTTTCTTTTCCAACTTCGTTTCTTCTTTCTTTGCAGGCCGTGGTAGTTCATCGAGAAGCATGTTCTCAGTCCCGAATCGAGTTGCGTCGATACGAGGCCAACCTTCAACGGGTTACGGAGAAGAGGAACTCCCTAAAACTCCTCTTAGGGCAAGGGGAGAAGAAATAAAAGACCTCCGAGATGAGTTGGCCAAGGCTCACCAAGATCAGACCGATCTGTCCGAGCCGGTAATAATACTTTTAAAAACCTATGGGCTCGATACCAGAACGATGGCTAATTTTTCAGTCTCACAGCTGCAGTAGAAAATGGAGATGATCGGAAAACTCCGGGAAGAAGTCGATGTGATAAAAGCGGAGTCTTTGAAGTGTAAAGAAGGTATGGACCGCTTTACTGCATAGAAAGAAGTTGCTCGAGCCTAATTATCATCGGCCGAAAACCAACTCCAAAAATTGAAGGAAAAAGGCTTTGTTCAAGCAACAAGAATAGAGGAGCTCGAGGCTCGGTTGGCCTCTGAACTTTCCAAGGCCGAATCTGATGCCGAAAAGGCAAAGGCCGATGCGGATGCACTCGTGGCCGTCTATCGGGCCGATGCTAAAGCTGCTCAGGTTCAAGCAAGAGAGGCAGCTGAGACCGCTGATACTCGAGCACATTGGGTTGCCGAACTCGCTAAGTGCCGATCTCGGAGGGAGACCCTCGAGGAGATCCATGCTCGAGGATTCGATCTCACTGAAGAGATAAAAATGGGCTAAATAACTCGAAGTCGATGTTGAAGCCTTGGCTTTCGATGATGAAGCTTTGGCTTCCGATGATGATGGGAGTAAGAGCGGGTCCGAGAACGAGAGGGAGCCAGGTGGAGAAGAGACCGCTCCCGGGGATAACCAAGAAACTTAGCCCTTAGTTTCTACGCTGCAATCAATCATGTAAACAATCTTGTATATATAAAAATATCTTTTTCTTTTGCCGACTTGCTTCTGTTTTGTTTCCTGCCTTGTGAAGATTTTATTCATGCCTTATGAATGTTTTCACAAGTATTTAGGCAATTTGATCAAATTTGGACTTCGTAGCCTTTATAACCGAGTGAGCGCTTACTCAAACTTGAAATAAGGTAGCTCATAGGCTTAGTAGTCTAGTTGAGTGATTAGAATTCGATGTAATACAGCCTGTAGGCATAATAGTCGAGTGATTGTTTCAAACTCGAAGTAATATAGCCCGTAGGCGTAATGGTTGAGTGACTATTTCGAACTCGAAGTAATATGGCCCTTAGGCATAATGGTCGAGTGAGTGCTTGCTCGAACTTGAAATAAAAGTATCTTGTAGGCTTATTAGTCGAGTGAATGTTTCGAATTCGAAGTAATGTAGCTCGTAGGCATAATAGTCGAGTGAATGTTTTCGAACTCAAAGTAATGTAGCCTGTAGGCTTAGTAGTCGAGTGAATATTTCGAATTCGAAGTAATGTAGCCCGTAGGCGTAATAGTCGAGTGAATGTTTTCGAACTCAAAGTAATGTAGCCTGTAGGCTTAGTAGTCGAGTGAATATTTCGAATTCGAAGTAATGTAGCCCGTAGGCGTAATAGTCGAGTGAATGTTTTCGAACTCGAAGTAATGTAGCCCGTAGGCATAATAGTCAAGTGAATGTTTTCGAACTCGAAGTAATGTTGCCCGTAGGCTTAGTAGTCGAGTGAATGTTTCGAATTTAATGTAATATAGCCCGTAGACATAATAGTTGAGTGAAT